GTTATATTATCTTATATCCCATTGGGCCTTATTTCATTTTTAAGTGGAGCATTTTTTATGGACAGGTAAGTTTGGTGTGTGGTTACTAACATCATGCATATGAGCAGTCTTCAAAAAGCTCATGAAAAGATTCATATTATCTTTTAATTCTGTTTTTCCATGAGCTTTTCGAAGTACCTTCATATTTACCTATATGAACCTACAGATTTTTCTAAATCAGTACAAATTTAGAAACAACACAAATAAAGTTTTATCTTTACAGCATAAATAGACTTAGAAGTCATTTTTCATAAATTTTTATAAGGCAAAAAATTTTCTTTGACATGAACATTTACTAACTTCTTTCTAGATAACAATTTCCATTTCTATTCTCCTTATCAGTCAGTTAACAGAATATTAAGGTTTGTACCTGTTAGGTACATCTTATTTCATAATTACTCCCACCCAAATTCAAATAAAAGATAAATGAAAGATCAGTAAACTTTAAAGCCAACTACTGGTTTCTTTAGACTTTCAGTAAGTGGAAGTCAGGAGTGGGTTTTGTTTTTGTTTTGTTGGTGAGGGTTGTTCTTGTTTTGTTTTTCGTACCCTTAAGAATGAGGAAAAAGAAATTAATAGAAAGCAGTATCTCCAAAGAATGATTTTCCTCCTTTAGTGGTTCTCAGTGGACTTGAAAGAACTGGCTTTTCACCAAAGCATGCTGGCATGCTATTAAGCCTATTTATTTTTATACCCAGCTCTTCATCACCAGATCTAAGTTCCAGCACTAAACTAACAGCAAGCAGAAAGAGCACAGGACAACTAAATGTGAACCCTGGAACTGCCAGTGGCAGCACCACGACTGCAGAACGAAGCCGGCATCAGAGAAGCTTCTCTGTGCCCAAGAAATTTGGTGTTGTCGACCGATCCTTTGACCCACCTCGAAGTGCCACACTGGACAGAATTCAGGCTTGTACCCAGCAAGGCCTCTCCTCAAAAACCAGAAGCTCATCTTCTTTGAAAGAGAGTCTCACAGACCCGTCCCATATAAGCCACCCAACCAACCTGTTGGCCACCATCTTCTGGGTCACAGTGGCCTTGATGGAGTCTGATTTTGAGTTTGAATACTTAATGGCCTTGAGGCTGTTGAATAGACTGCTGGCACATATGCCACTTGATAAAGCTGAGAACCGAGAAAAACTTGAGAAACTCCAGGCACAGCTCAAGTGGGCCGACTTCTCAGGGCTGCAGCAGCTGCTGCTGAAAGGATTCACATCCCTCACCACCACAGACCTTACCCTGCAACTTTTCAGTTTGCTGACACCAGTCTCCAAAATACCCATGGTGGACTCATCCCAGGCTATAGGTAAAGCCAACATAGTTCACTCTCTCAGGATTCGGGTGATGGTTGTGCTTATCTTTAGTGTGATAAGATAATATGGACTTACTGCTTGTAACAATTCTGCTTAGAAATGGTTCCTTGTCAATCGTTTTTTTCTTTTAAAATTTTATATAATGTAAGCCTTAATTTTTTATATTATAGAAGATATTTTAGGACAATAACATAAAAGGAGCAGAAATTATATATTAGTGATTTCTTTATGCTTTCCAGATTAAATTGCACACATTGTTAGTTTATTACATTGCTCTTGTACAGACATTCTTTTTCTTTTTTTTCTTTTCCTCTCAAATCTTTTATTTTTTTTTCTCTTCCTCTTAAAAATTCTCTTTGTTTCCTATTGTCTTGAATTAAGCTAAATCAACAAGCCAAATTTTTAATACCATGGCATGTGGCCCAGAATTCATTTCACGAAGCAAGACCTTAACACAGAGGTACTAAGCCATTCACCATCATTTTAAAGAGTGTTTTCAATTGCTTGGCTAAGACTTAAATTGGTTTGCCTACATCACCTCACACCAGTTTGGTGGGGGTTTTTTAAATATATTGTTTTATAAAAATTTCAAACTAGTGCTTTAGCTCAGTTAAATCTGTGCCAGTCATCCTTACTCACAAACAGTCCCTAGCAAGATAACCATTGTGTCTGAAAATTACAAATCTGCATCAGAGCCTCCTTCATAACTGCTGCCATTGTGGTTGTACATTTTTCATGGATCTTGTATTAGGTCATATTTAAGCTGTCTCAAAAGACTGCTTTGCATCGCCTCAGGATAAGACGCGTAGCATGACTTCCCACTGTAACGTTTAGCTGTCTCCATGTGTCTCCTCGAATCCAGGGTTTCCATTGAATGTCTTGTGCCTCCTGCCCCAGCTGATTCAGCATTTTGAAAATCCCAATCAGTTCTGTAAGGACATAGCCGAAAGGATTGCTCAGGTATGAGTCATGGTTCCACAATGGGGCAGATCCATGCAAGCCTTCAGGAAAGCCCAATGTCAGACAGAAATTATCAGGCCCAGAGAAGGCAATGATTTCTCAAAAACTGATATCACTAGTAATGTATGTCTTTGGGTGGCTGACACAAATTGTCTTGCTTGTTTTCATTATTGAGAAAATGGGTGGAAAGAATTTGTGAAAATTACATTAGTTGATTACTAAACTAAGTACTTCGGTAGCTACCAAAAAGTGTATCAATTTACTTTCTAGACTGCCAAAATTTACAGCAAAATTGCTAACATTTATTCCTATTCATTGGGATATTTTAACCCTTATTGATCTTTCTTATCTTAAAAGGTTTGTTTGGAAGAGAAGAACCCTAAACTTTCCAATCTTGCCCATGTTATGACTCTTTATAAAACACACAGCTACACGAGGGACTGTGCCACGTGGGTCAATGTGGTCTGTCGCTATCTTCATGAAGCATATGCTGATGTTACCTTGAACATGGTGACCTACCTTGCAGAGGTAAGCTTTTAAACTAAGGATAAAATCTGTTATAGCTTCCAAGGGTAAAATACTCACATAGGTAAATACTCACACACACTCTTTCCATTTATTATCATAATGCTACTAGAATCATTTTCAATCCTCACAACCCAGTCATGTACATATTATTATAGTAAAGGATCTGAGGCTCAGCCGGGTTAAGTTGCCATGAGTTGAAGGAAGCAGAGCCTGCCTTTGAACCTAGTTATAGCTGCCTCCAGAGCTTAAACTCCTTCTATTTACATTAATACCGGTCAGTGCATGGCAGAGGTGAGAAAATTTTATCCTAATTACTCTGGGTATTAACGTACATATTATTATAGTAAAGGATCTGAGGCTCAGCCGGGTTAAGTTGCCATGAGTTTAAGGAAGCAGAGCCTGCCTTTGAACCTAGTTATAGCTGCCTCCAAAGCTTAAACTCCTTCTATTTACGTTAATACCGGTCAGTGCATGGCAGAGGTGAGAAAATTTTATCCTAATTACTCTGGGTATTAAAATCTTATTTAAGGAGTTACCGTGTGGCTTGATACATTTAATAGTTGTTTGTTCTGAACTAATTAACAAAGTATGCATTGTGAAATAAACTTTTTATCTTCACCTTTTATATTTGTTTTTTAAATTGGAATGGAATTTTCATCATCATACAAATGTGTTTCTAGCACATTTGTTACAAACCCCTATTCTGACTTGTATGTACATTGGTGCTAGAAATACAAAGCATATTGGACAAGAGATGAAACGTTTTCCATTTGGCACTTCCAGTCCCCAACAAGTTTAGTACACATGGTCATGAAATCTATGAGGCAAATGACTGATCACAGCACTTGTGTTAGCATTTCCAGTGTTGCTTTTCCTTCCAGGATGTACATTCATACCTGTTGCTAGGGCCTTCCTGAGGAGATGAGGACCATTCATCCTAGTTATGTCACCATCCAGGTTCCAGAGAGGTTAAAGAATGCACCATTTTCTCAAAGGCTCCACAAGACCGAAAGAGTCTACCTGGCAGAGGGTAGACCCCCATCCATCCCCATTTATAGTTGACCCTGCAGGATTTTGACTTGCAATACAGATCAGCAACATGAGGACTGTATTCAGACTATTGATAGCCCAGCATTCATTTGCTCTTCCCATACCTGCATCCCTGGCCTTTTAAAGAACCTCTCATAAGTGCCAACCTGCTGCTTTTGATAATCACCTGGTCACACCTGTCCCAGCAAGAGTTACTAAGCAAGCAGACTTGTACCTTAGCACACAAGTAAGGGGAGAACCACGCAAACACCCCACCTACAAAGGCAGACAAGATGATGCCTGTTTTAAAAAAAGATGAAGTGTGAGATAGCAAGGAGGCAACACATATTTGGATACTAACCATCAAAGTTTCAAAAATGCTGACGGGATGTGGTATACACACACAATGGAATATTGTGGAATATCGTTCAGCCTTAAAAAGGAAGAAATTCTGACCCATGCTTCAACATGGGTGAACCTTGAGGACATATGCTAAGTGAAGTAAGCCAGACACATAAGGACAAATATTATATGATTCCACTTACATGAGGTGCATAGATTAGGGAAATTTATAAAGACAGAAAGTAGAATAGTGATTACCAGAGGCTGGAGGCCGTTGATCATGCAGAGTTATCTCATGGGTCCAGAGTTTAGCTTTGGGTGATGAACAAGTTCTGGAAATAGACAGTGGTGATGGTTGAACAGCAATGTGAATGTACTGAATGCCACTGAAAAAATGGTTAAAATGGTAAGTTTTATGTTACGTATGTTTTACCACAGTAAAAAATAAATAAAAAATGGGTTGTCTAATTTGTTCTATTCAGCCCTTGTCACAAAATTGTCACCAAAAAATTTATTATGAACTTAACCAACTTTCCACCATACATAATATATATTAACTTCTATTTCAACTACTGACATGTTCTTTGAGGTCTTAGCCATGAACATACATAAAGTTTTACGTACTTTTGGTCAGTATGTCCACTAAATCTGCTCTGTCACTTAATACTGACTTTGTGTGTGTATCTCCATGTGTTGACATAGTTCACATTGTGTTGTTTTGCGTAACTGTAGAATTGTATCAGGTTAATGTAACCCAGTTTGCTTAGTTGCTTGCATTCATCATTTTTTCCATTACAATTGGTCCTGTTATGTAGACATTTTATCAAATGATATTTGGTTATGTAGACCTTTTATCAAATGATATCTGATATTTTATCAAACAATAATTGATTTTACTAAATGATGTTAACTGATTCTACATTTCCCAAGATAGAACGATCCAGCCTACGGGCCTGGGTACATGAATATGTTATTTAGTTATTCAACACATTTGAGAAATTGGTCTTCACAAAGACTTTCCCAATTTACAATACTGCAAAACAATGTATAAATATTCTTGTTTTCCCATATCCCCACTAAATTTTATCATTCTGTTTATTTTTTTTCCACTTCTATACTTTTTATTAATATTTTCAAATTACTTTCTTAAGATATTTCCTTTCTAGTGAAGATATTTATTTTTCCACACAATAGATTTACGTAATTGTTTATTTCCTCATGTGTTAACCACTCAGTTATTTCCTCTGACCACTTTTGATGTGGAATTTCAGTGTTTACTGGGATAAACTTTTAACATAATGTCTGTCATATATATTTGTTCTATTTTGCTTTCCTTGTAGATAATATCATTGACTTTTTCTCCTGATTAAAAAGCAATATACATTCATAGCAGAAGATTTGGAAGGTATAGAAAAGTTTTTTTAAAAGAAGAAAATAAAAAAGGAAAATCACCCAAAATTATGTTATCTAGAGAGAAATACTATTAACATTTTGGGGGATTTCTTTCCAATCTGATTTCCATATAACACACACATTCACATTAATGTTGGCATCACCTATTATGTAGACAATTGTGTCTCCTTCATCTTCCACTTAATGTTATCTGATGTCCTTTTCTATCTTTAAAAATGTCATTCTATTAACTACATGATATTTCATCATACAGTTTAACGTTAACTTATTTGAGTATATCCATTTTCCTAGTGTTCAACATTTAAATTACTTACAGAGCTTTCTCTCTTTTTTTTTAACATTCACTTGTACACATCTGTGGGGTACAGTGTGCTATTTCAATATGTGCATATACCGCACAGTGATTCACTTAGGGCAGATAGTACAGTTTTGTACCCATTAGTCCACCACTTCTCCTCCTCCCGGGCTCGCCCCTCCCAGCCTCTTGCAGAGCTTTCTTATTTTGTGTATGATCTTCTTTTACCACTATAAATAATGGTATGGTGAAATCTCATACATAAATCTTAGTGTTTATATCTGGTCGTGGAAACATTCCTAAAAGTGTAATTACTATTTCAAAAGATATGGACTTTTTCAGAGTTCTTGATCTTAATTGCCAAATTATGCAATTTACATTTCCACTGGTGTGTAAGAATACCCGTTTCCTTAACTTCTTGCTAATACTGAATGTTATCAATTTTTAATCTTTGCCAATTTGATATCTGACAAATTGTCTTTTTTGTTTTAATTTGTAATTTTTGATAATTAGTGGTGTTTGATGCCTTCCTTTCAAAGGCTTTTTTTTAATATTTCATTGTGTGAATTTTGTGTTGATGTATCCAGACCATCCCACATTGCCTTCAGTAGTATCTTCATTTTTCTTCAGTTGTTAGGATTTTTTTCCCCCTCCTAAAGAAATGTGCCATCATAAAAGTGTTAAACAAAGGTCAAGGATTCAGATCCCTGTACCAGCTGGCCACTGGGTGGGGGGGGGAGTCTATCCATAAAGGTGTTGGAAAACACGGGTGCTCTCATGCAAAAACCTGATGTGAAACTGATCTGGGCTATACTTTGCCTCCGACAGTTGCTGGAGAAGGGCCTCCCTAGTATGCAGCAGCCCCTCCTCCAGGTGATCTACAGTCTGCTCAGCTACATGGACCTTTCTGTCGTTCCTGTCAAGCAGTTTAATGCGGAAGTTCTGAAGACCATTGAAAAATATGTGCAAGTGAGTACAACTTCACTTATGATCCGGGATGTTTCTGGAGAGTCGTTCCTGAAAGACTGGGGCTTTGCCTGTAGTTCGTACTCAGCTACAAAGCTGTATGAGTCTCAGGCCACACATTCATTCCTTGATATCCATGGAACAGTGAGGAGAGTCAAGAGCGGTAAAGACTGGGGCTTTGCCTGTAGTTCGTACTCAGCTACAAAGCTGTATGGGTCTCAGGCCACACATTCATTCCTTGATATCCATGGAACAGTGAGGAGAGTCAAGAGCGGTAGTTGACCACACCCTGGGTAGTATTCCAAGGAGAAAGACAGCACCAGGCCCTAGCACGATCCTGACCGTCAGAGGACACATTTCCACCTCTGGGGGCTAAAGGCTGGGGAATAAAAACACAGAGCTGGCTGGGAGGGCTGGGGAAGTGTATTATTTGCAGCATCCCCTTTCAAAGAAGGAGAAGGAACATGCCTGTGTGCCAGGTTCTAGGTCAGGGGTTTCAACATGTAAAGGAATATTCCGTTAAGATCACCACTTTAGAGTTGAGGGAACTAAGGTTAAGAAGCTTGCATAAATGAACTTGAAAATACTCCAACAAACAAACAAAAATGTTGGGGGGGATAAATAAAACAAGATGACAAAAATGTGAATAATTGATGATGAGTGCAAGGGAGCCGTTGTACAAGGGGGGTCTCTGTGTCTGTGTATACTTGAATATTTCCATAATAAACAATCTTTTAAAATTAAAAAAAAATAGACTGGCCCCAAGATGGAGCTTGTATTTGATCCCAGATCCACCAGCTCCAAAGCCAGTGCTTTGTTTCACTGTACAGAGCAACCCTCCCAGCAGGACATTTGGTGAACATCAATAAACACTTACAGACTGATTCCTTAAAGCCATACGCTGAGACTACCAGAAAAAAAAAGAAAGAAATGGAAAAAAAAATAAATATCAAAAGAGGAAACAGACCAGAGCAAGTTTCTAGAGACTGGAAGTTAATCCACAACACATGGATACAGACAGAAAAAGAAAGCCGCAGGCCATGGGAGCTGCGCAGGGCCACCGGGGGTTAAGAGCAGAAGGCCAAGCTCAAGAGCATGGCCAACCCTTCCTGCACATCTTCTTTGTTCCTCTGTTTCTTCTCAAAAGTGTCCTTGGCAAGTTGCAGAATTCAAGGGCAAATGCTAGGTTTTCTGTGGTTAAGCTCACTGACAAAGCTACACAGCGTAAATGTTGGACATGTCTTTCTATCTTCACTTCACCAGTCACACCATCTGTGGAAATCATTTGATGCTAAAAGTGATTTCCAAGCACCCTTTTTTTTTTTCATTTTTTAAGTTGCATTGCTCCAATTATACTTGTGCCACATGGTGGGAATTCAGTAACTGTTTCTCACTTCACCTCACTTGCAGAGGATGCGGGGTCAGTTCCCATCTGTCTACTAACTGTGTGCCTCACTTCGTTGTTTTATTGTGGTGCCCATTCTGTTCTAGGCCTGTGGGTCATCTCTGATGCTCGATATCTTACTTTAAATGGTGGCTAATTTCATATTCAGATCTTGACAAGGAAGTTGTGCAGAAGTTAACAGGGAAGGAAATGTTTATTTCATGTGCTTTTACTCTAAAGCCTAGGCAAATAATAATAACAACAACAACAACTTCTATCAAGTTGGTTGATCTATGTTGAATATTTTTATGGGAGAACCACCTCTCCCACATCCTCAGTCCGACTGGGGATTGTTAAGGAGACAAAGATGGTAAAATAAACTGACTCTTAAAGGCAAAGTAGGCGTTTGAGAAGCCAGTAAGGAGAGGAAAGACTTTCCAGGATGAGGGAATAGCATGACTAAAGGCACAGAGGCTGAGACGTTGCCCGGTTTGGTGAACTCTTGCAGTAGCCTGGGGGAGATGACCCCTGCAGGCCATGCTCAGAGTGTGGGCTCCACCCTGTCCAGCAGAGGGAGCCCTTGAAGGCGGGGAAATAGCTTGGTCCAAAGAGTTCTAGAGTTCAGTTGGCTGGATGAGATGGACTTAAGCAGAGGCTGCAAGCAGAGAGTCCAGTTAAGAGGCCATTAAAGGGCCGGCCCGGTGGCGCACTGGATAAGTGCGCCACTTGGGAAGCGCTGCGGCACTCCCCCCCGAGAGTTCGGATCCCACATACAGACCGGGTCCCGCTCACTGGCTGAGCGAGGCGCGGGAGCAACACCGAGGGCTGCAATCCCGTTGCCGGTCCCCGGTCCGGTACGGGGGCAACACTGAGGGTTGCGATCCGTTGCTGGACACGGAAAAAGACAAAAGACAAAAAAAAGGGCAACACTGAGGGTTGCGATCCGTTGCTGGACACGGAAAAAGACAAAAGACAAAAAAAAGGGCAACACTGAGGGTTGCGATCCGTTGCTGGACACGGAAAAAGACAAAAGACAAAAAAAAGGGCAACACTGAGGGTTGCGATCCGTTGCCGGACACGGAAAAAGACAAAAGACAAAAAAAAAAAAAAAGAGGCCATTAAAATAGTCCAGGCAAGACTGAAGAGGATTCAACCGAGCCAGTGCCAGCAGGAATGGAGGGGAGGGAACAATTACCAGACGGAGGGAACAAGGGGAGTCAAGATTGGCTCCCAGACTCTAGGTTAAATAATGAGGAAGACATTAATTGAGAAGGAAAGAGGGCTAGGGCAGAGCTCAAGGTACCCAGGGAGCACATGGAGCAACAGGAGCCAGAGAAGTAGGAGAAGGACAAGGAAAACTGGAAACTGGACATGGGGAGAGTTTTGATAAAGCATGAACAGTCAATAGCATGAAACGCACTGGGGTCTTTTTGTCTCCCAAATTAAGGAGGTGCCTCATTAGCAAAAGTAATACCTCATAATTTTAAACTCATTTATTTGAACATGGGCAATATTAGTCCTTTTTTATCAGCTTGTTTCCCAAATGTAGCTCATTTTATATATAAATGGTCTTTTATGTCATTTGCTGTTTTCTTATCATGGAATTTCCTGCACTGTTTTAAGTCGGTGAATTCTGACTGGTCATAAGTTTCAGTAGTGGTGCATTAAAATGAAATTATTTTTAACCCTCGAATGTCTTATTTCCTGCAGAGTGTCCACTGGAGAGAAGCTCTGAGTATCTTGAAGCTGGTAGTGTCACGATCTGCCAGCCTCGTTCTGCCTTCCTACCAGCACAGTGACCTCTCCAAGGTGGAAATACATCGTGTGTGGACCAGTGCATCCAAGGAATTGCCTGGGAAGACCCTGGACTTTCACTTTGATATTTCAGAGGTATTTAGCTGTATTAACTGTTTCTGTTAACTTGAGTGTGAATTTATAGTAGCCAAGGTCAAAAGTAGTTGCCTAGAGAAAAGGAGACCTATTTTACATTTATTTTATTTATTTTTTTTATTATTTATTTTTATTTTTATTTTTATTTTGTCAATATACAATGTAGTTAGTTATTGTGTCCCATCACCAAAACCTCCCTCCCTCCTCCCTCTCCCCCCTCCCACCCAGATGTGTCCCCTCCATTTTCTTGTTGTAAGAGCTTCAAAAAAAAAAAAAAAAAAAAGTTGAGGTTGTACATTTATTTTAAACAAAGATATCTAAGGTCTAAATTAGGTTCTCTTTTTTAAAGAAAAAGACACTGAGTGTCATATTCACTGGGGCTCTCAATTGGCAGCTTCTAAAGGTAGAAACTAGCCTCAGTTATATAAAAAAATGATTGTTAAAAAAAGATACTTAAAAATGGAATGATCTTAAGCATTTTAAACCATGACCTTCATTCACTCTTTATCTGACAACTGTTGTACCTCCATGTCCACAACCTTTCTCCCTGAACTGTAACCAGGCCAGCAAATGATTGAGATTTACAGGAATCCAGAACCTGGTGGCTTCCCGAAGCCACACTGCTTTTTAAACAAATAAAATTAAATTCTTGTCATGGGGGGCTAGGAGAGGGGTTGACCAGGGACCCAAGCTAAGGAGTTGGGAAGAAAAGAGAGGGCAGAAAGTGTTAAGATTTACCTGCTGCTCTATGAACAAACATTTGGGAAGCCAGTACTTAATTATTTTAGATTAAGATATAAAATAACTTTGCTTTTATCTCTTTCTTATCCCATGACCCATGAGCCCCCCATAGCAGAAACTGCACTCAGTTCATCTTCTAAACCAGGGCCTGGTAGGGAGTCTGATGCATAAGTAGATACTTAATACATATTTTCAAACACTGCTGAATGAATTAATTCACTAAGAAATAAACCGGATCTGCTTATACTTAACTTGTACTATCAAGTAGTTTATATCCAAGTTGGGTTTTTTGACACAATAGTACTCATTGACCTTCTATCATTTCAATATTCAGGATGAGAAATTATTTTGCTGCCACTGTGATACCTGCATCTATATTTAGTATATAAACGATATTGAGGTATTGATTTAATCGTTGCCCATATTTAGGTTTTTTTGTTGTTGCTGTTTTTTTACATTGCTTGGGGGGAAGCTATTTTTCTCTTAGGCTTGAGTTTATTTTGCTCCAAAGAGGTACAGAAAACGTACAGCCATTCAGCTGCACCCCTGCCTCCCAGAGACCCAGAACTGCTCCAGAATAAGGGGCCTTGGGGGCCAAGTGTAAAATCACCACTCAGTTTCTGCAACCTCCAAGGGCTGCCTCACAAGCTGGTGTCTGCAGAGGCTAAAGTTTGGGAGGTGTCACTTACACAGCCACTACATTCCAGGGCTCTCAGGAAGTGAAATTTCTAAAGTGTTGCCATAGTACCTGACCCTGACTTCATTCATTTGAATAACTGAAATGATATAAATAATCTAATACATTTTTAAATAATTGAGGATATATAAAGATTGATGATTAAAGGCTGGGAAGAGGGGAAGGAATTTTAGTCTCCTGTTATAACTCTAAGAAATCCTTTTAAGTTTAAACATCTGAAAACTATTTGCTTTCCTGCACATTTTGTTTCTAATCTTTATCAGTGGTTTCTAAAGCATGTTTAAGAATAAGCTGTTGGATTTGTTTTCTGCTGCTAAAGACAGTAGGAAAATATTGAAGGCGCAAAATGATTCAGAACATTTGAACATCACAAAAATGAGCCTATTTGTAACACTGAACTTCTTTAATCTGATTTGGAATCTGATAAACAGCTCTTGGTTGCTTCTGGGTAGAGCGGTCCCATGTACCACAGAATTCTTAATGGGATAGAAGACGGTGTGCTTTTGTATTCTTTTTTCCAAGACACCAATCATCGGGAGGCGATATGATGAACTGCAGAATTCCTCTGGGCGTGATGGGAAGCCCAGGGCCATGGCCGTCACCCGGAGCACATCCTCCACTTCATCAGGCTCCAACTCCAATGTCCTTGTTCCTGTGAGCTGGAAAAGGCCCCAGTATTCTCAGGTATCAATCCTAGACTCACAGTATTGGAAGGGAATTTAGGGGACCTATTGAGCCCAACTGCCCATGTGAAACAGGATTCCTCCGTTCACCGCCCCAGCATTGCCATCTAGGCTTCAACACTTTCAGTGATGGGGACTCATGATATTCCAGTGGAGCCTGTTTTATCTTTGAGCAGCGCATTACATTGACTTGAAGTCTGACTCTTGGTTGCCTCTACCCATTTCTTCTAGTTCTCTTAAAGCTTAGGAAACAAAATCTGATCTCTCTTTGATGTGGCAGATCTTCAGACCTTTAAAGAAATCCTTCCCCTTTGCCACTCACCCAAATGAGTCCTCTTTTCTCTAAATAATACATCCTTAGTTCTCCCAACCATTTCTATAGGGCTTGGTCTCCCACAGGGTTGACAGGGCTGTACACCCAGAAACCATTCTGGCTGCTGTCACCAGAACACGCACTCCTATTCTGGTGTCCATGCACAGGCTGGGCCACACAGAGCAGAGAGGGCTGCCAGATCTCTCTGTGGTTCTGTTGTTGCAGCCTATGACTGCATGCACTCTATGGGTGACTGTGTCACAGTATTGATGCCATCAGGCTTACTGTCAAGTAAAACCCCTGCATTATTCAGAGGTCTTTTGGTCACACGTGACAGAAACACACTGAAAAATTACTTTAAATGCAAAAGGAAGTTATTAGCTCATCTATTTTGGCTTCAAGAACAGCTGGATCTTAATACACCAAATGTTGGGGACTAGATCCCTGGAGTCTCTCCCTCTCCTTCTCAGTGTCCCCACCATCCCTTCCCAAAGTCTTAGCCGCTGTTTTCCCCTGTTGACCTCATTCTCAGGCAGGCTCTTGCCATGTGAGGCACCAGCAAGCTGCAGCAGTTCCAGATTTACATGGTCTTCGGCTCTGATGATTTCAGAAGGAAAGAGGCTTTCTCTCTTCTGACATCCACAGCAATTCTAAAGGACTCCTGCAGGGTGTGTGAGCCAAAGCTTCACTCAGTGGGAGAGGAGCCACTCCCAAGATTGCAAAAAGGGACTGCATTCCCAGAAATAGGCAAAGTGGGTGCAGGGCAGGAAAACCACCCTCTGCATGCCCAACAGGACCCCTTCACTCTCAGAAGTGAGAGAAACGGAGCATGCAGCTTAGTGCCTGCTGGAACATAGCAGGTGTTCAGTGAGCATTCAGTTGTTGAGAACTTCACTGGAAAAGAGAAGAAAAATGCACAGCCCAATTCCATGTTTTTCTATATTGATTTCTTCCCAGAATTGGGGGAAGACTTGGGGAAATAGTTCAGTGAATTTCCTGCTATCCCTCAACATTGAGGTCCTCCGGTCTTTGACTTTGAAAAGACACAATAATGAGTAATTTAAAAAGATGTAGCTAACCAAGTTCCATTAAGAACAAAAATCTAAGAGTGGTATTGGCCTCCTAGCAGTTTCCACAAACTTAGATCAGATGGGACGGGGTGGGGCAGTCATTTTAAAGAGATTAGGAAGACTGCTTTCAGAGCAGTACTGAAGTACACTAACATTTTTTAGGCTCTGGTTACTCTTTTTATTCTCATCTCACCAGTCATTCTGAGACCTAGTGTATCTATGTCATTGGAAAATGTGATGGTTTATAGAAGAATCCCCACGTTAAGGGGCTGGAAAGTAAGGTTCACGAAGAAAACCGAAAGGAATTGAATCTGTTTAATTTTAGGAAGAATAATTTGAGAATGATTTAATGTGGCTTACAAGTAATTGAATTTTTTCATTCTGTGGAAAGTAAAGTTATTCTCCCATTTGAGAAAAATACACTTGTGCTGTAACATAATAGATTTAATTTAGTATAAGGAAAGCCTTGCTAATACAGGAAGTCGTAACATACAAGAAAAGATTATCAGGGGGAGTAATGGATATCCACTGAAGAATTCAGGGATTGGGCCAGCCTGGTGGCGCATTGGAGAGTGCGCCGCTTGGGAGCGTGGCGGCGCTCCCACCGAGGGTTCGGATCCCATGTGGAGACCAGTTCCCGCTCACTGGCTGAGCGCAGTGCGGGCGCAACACCAAGGGTTGCGATCCTGTTGCTGGTCCCCGGTACGGGCGCGACACCGAGGGTAGCGATCCCATTACCGGTCAGTAAAAAAGACAAAAAGGGAAAAAAAAAAAAATTTAGGGATTGATTTGCACACACACATCCCCCCATGGAATGACTTAGATCAGGACTGTACTCGTTTTAAGTTTTCTAACAGTCACCTTTAAAAAAAGTAAAAAGAAACAGAAAATTTTAATGACATATTTTACTTAACCTATCTAATATTTTATTTCAACATATTATCAATATTTTACAACTGTTAATGAGATATTTTACATTCTGTTTTCATACCAGGTCTTTGTGTATTTTACATCTAAATTGTCACTGCCTGCATTTCAAGCATTAACAACCCTGTGTGGGTTAGTGGCTTTTGTATTAGAGCACATTTGCTCACAGGACCCCATAATAAAAACCTACCTTGTGTTTCTTTTCCAGAAGAGGACAAAGGAGAAGTTGGTGCATGTCCTATCTCTGTGTGGCCAAGAAGTAGGATTAAGCAAAAACCCATCAGTAAGTGCAATCATGTATCACAGTCATGTTGGTATCATATCTCTTTGGC